GGCGCCCGCCTCCCCGCCGCCCGCCGCCTCCTGCAAAGTCCGCCAACCTTAGCGCCTCGGGGCACAGACTGTAAGTGGTCTTTTCTCCCTCTAGTCCGGTCTGCCCAACGCTGGCCAAGACCAGCCTACGCGCGAATAGCTGTTTTGCTGCAAGTTGCAGCTTTTTAAGCCACTCCATTAAACAAAGTAATAGTTAATGGAGACAGGAACGTCCATCCACAGGGGCGAGGTTGAACGAATCACGGGACAGCTCTACCTCGGAACTTCGGAACGTAAGGTGGGAGCTATGAGTATCGGCCTGGAGGGAGGATACTGTTCAAAAAAAAAAGATGGGGGGGGACATGCACACTGATTTTGGGAATAACGAAGCTTGAATAAAGACACTCCTAGAAGGTGTGTATGCTTGTAGGAAGTCGAGGACTGTTAGCGTTGAGCTGCAGTTACCCCAGGGGTCTGGATTTAGAGAAGATTCACTTTATGCCAGTTTCAGTATTATTGGCTTGAGCTAAATTACTTTCATAACTAAACAAAACAAAAAACCCAGCTGGTTGTAAATATTCGTATTCAGTTATACAATACATGTCTCAGTGTCCACACTTTCCCAGCATTTCTGAGGTCAACATTGGAGTTCTTCCTGTGGTGGACAGTGTTGGTGTGGGGTCATTTAGCAGCAAATGTTACCGTTGTTTCCTGTTGCCAATTAATCTGTCCTGCACCCTAGTCACCGGCATTTCTAGGAGCTGCAGAGAGGGCAGGGAGCAGGGCACAGGACCCAGGGGCTGGAGAGAGAGGCTGCTGCTGTTTCTTCCACGTGGGTCAGGGCCAAGGCCTTGCTTTGACCGTGTTGCTGCTCTCACCACAAATGCACAAAGAGCAGTGAAACCTCCTTTATAATGTGTCGCACTGTATTTAAGTACCATTTTCCTTCCAAGTTAGATTCAGAGACTGCACGATGTCCCACTCACAGGGTGGCCAACAGTGTCCTGGGGGTTACACTAGTGTGATCTCACCTTCATCAGTGGTAGTGCCTGTGGGCTCGTGATCCTTGAGTGAATGGAATGGTTTGCTGGACCTTGGCTTCGGTCAGACCATTCCACAGGCTCAGATGCCCCCTTTAGCTTATATTCACCTACCCAACATGCACTACAAACCCACTACTGGCCATTTTACAACTTACCATCTCTCAGACCTCAAACAAGTCATTAAACCTCTGAGCCTCTCTTATTTGTAAAATGTGGATTATGGTAATACCTGCCTCAAGAGGTGGTGTCAGAAATAATTTCCATGAGAAAATACAGAACATTTTACACAGTGTTTGGTACTTCAAGTCTTATATGTATGGCTACTTAAAAATAATGAAATCCCAATGACTGAGCTTGTGCGCAAGAGAGAAATAAATCATGGGATCTCCCCATGGACAGCTCAAACAGCGACAATTCCCATTTTAAATCTGACAAGCCACTTTATGGTTTCCTGCTTTTCTTCCTACTTCTGGTGCTCACCTTTTTCATTTCAATGTTCTGGTGCAGAAGCAATCAGAGAACTAAATGATCCTAGGTCAGCATCAAATTTATTAATTCAAGAATGTAGAAATGAAAATTATTTTCAAATAATTCTCATACCCTATTAGCAAATATTAAGCAACCTAATTTTTAAACCTTCAAATCTTGAGGAAAAATTCAGGTTTTAATATGAATACTAAAATAGGAAGATGCTGCTAAATGCCACTATCAAACAGTTAAAGCGAGCTCCTGGAATAGAAATCTCTTGACTGCTATGCGGTTTACAAGCACTGATGCTTGACTAAAGTGATTTATTTGGACTTCCACACAGTTGCTACAGTTCAAGCAAATTCTACCAGTGAGCTCAAGCAAACCAACTAACCTCCTTCATGCCTAAAGATGAGCAAAGTTAAACTCCATTTAAATACAATTTGAAAATATCCTATTCTCATCCCAGTGCATCTGCAACTGAATCTGAAACTATAATGCATCAGTTATTAGAATCCAGTATCTTTCTAGATATTCAGACTGAAAACTAATCTCAATGGACAATAAGCAAATTCCAGTGGAAGAGCTAATGGAAGGCCGTCCGTCTTACCTGCCTTCTGCATTATCTTTGTCCCTTATTAAATGTCCTTTAAAAATGGGGAGTGATGGGGTGTGGTTAAAATTCTGGTCATTTGTAGGCTTTTTTTTTTTTTTTTTAAACATTGAACTAGGGTATTTAAACACACCTCCTGTGAGAATAAAAGAGAACTCTCTGAGAGGTGGGCAATCAACCCTGTGTCACCTCCCTCTCCCTAGTGCTAGGGACCCAAGAACAGGGTTAAAGACCTGACAGGAAAAGTCTATTACTCACCCTCCTCCACATTCACAGCTGACACTTATATAAGGTACCTGGGCTTGACCAGACTTAAACTTCTGGAAACAGGTCCAGGAGTAAGATAATCGGTGAATAGTTCATTAAAACTCCTGCCTTTGGTTCAAACTGGGGATAAAGGATAACTTTAGAAAGATGTTCACAGTTTAAAATATTTAGTATCAGAAAGTTGTACTTATTTTTTTTTTAACTCAGCAGACTGAAGGCTTAAATTATCAATCTGCGTGAGACTTGGAAATGTACAGATAAAAAAAATGGCTGGGAAGTCTGTCCCGGTCCACCCAGTGCCACCAAAATGTGACACATCTTACCTGTTCAGCGGTGTAGTGTCACATGAGACAATAAGTTGTATTTTGATTCTGCAGGTTTTCTCTGCATTTCTAGGGTCATGTTTCACTAAAGTACTTAGGAATAAGTTTACAGCACAGTGAACATAAAAGAGGACACAAACCAAATTTATACTTAAATTAAGTAGCATGATTTAATTTAGCTGCTGCTTAATCCTGAATCCTCTTAAGTTAAAAAAACAAAAGTTATAATTAACTATTAACGTTAATGAATTTAAACCTTCCAGAAAACATGAATCCAAAAGGAAATGTCCAACGGGTGATACAGGCCACATATTTTATGGCCTTTCCTGTTTCAGTCTCAAACATTCTAAACATCAATGGAAAAAAAATTTTCTCTAGAGTTTTTCAATTTTATTCTTCTAGGGCACAATTTTCTGGCCCATTACTGGGTACGGTCTTCTAACAGGTACACAATTAACTCATAGGTAGACAACACAATGGCAGTATTTGGTATCTGCCGGATGAGCTGGGCAAACAGTCCTCTATAGAAGGCAAGGTAACCTTCTTCCCGGAAGACCAGCCGAGCGGTCTGGACAAAAGACTTGTACTTGGTGCCTTCCTCCCGGAGCCGTGTCCTTATGACTTCTGCAGACAGAAACACATACTTTATGCTACAAACGAACTGCATCACCAAGTGATACAATGAGAGAATTCAAAGCACACAGCTCTGTAACCGTCAATGTACATCTCTGGCTATTTGCCATCGGAGTTCTACTTGGACAGCAAAGTCGCTTAGGGACAATGAAAAGTTGCAATCTTTTTAGAACATTTTCTAACTCTGGGAAATGGTCAATTAGGGACATTACATATACAGACAAAAGTACAAAGTAACTTTTAAGGGACTGTAAAAGCTTACTTTGAATGGGACTTCATTTTAAGATAGTTTGTGGTTTTCTACTCCCAATTAAGCAAATGCTGTAATTTCACTGAAGGTGTAGTTTGTATTAAGCACGGCAAATCATCAACAAGATTTTCTTTTCATGTACTTGCCAACTTCCTCTCCCACTAAAACCCTTCTCCACCACTCTCTCCAGCTCAAAAGCTGCCTCCTACATTTTCAAACCTTTGCACACCTGGCCCTCCCTGACGCAGCCACCCCCAGCCTGACACCTGCCACTGCCTGGCACGTTCCCATCTTCCCCACCCCACAGAAGGCAGCCCAACCTCTTTTCCCTGAGCCCTGGGGAGCCGCTTAGTGTCCCAGCATGTGACAGGGGCTCAATTACCTGCTTTGGAGCTGACCACGTACATTCGTCACAGCTGACAGCACAGCGGGCTTTTGGAAACAAAACCCGTTTTGCATGGTACAATAAACTAAGCTATTCTTTTTTAAAGTAGGTCAGTGGATGGGGCGCCTGGCTGGCTCAGTTGGTTAAGCGTCTGCCTTCGGCTCAGGTCATGATCCCAGGGTCCTGGGATCGAGCCCTGCATCGGGCTCTCTGCTCTGCGGGAAGCCTGCTTCTCCCTCTCCCACTCCCCCCTGCTTGTGTTCCCTCTCTCTGTCAAATAAATAAATAAGATCTTTAAAAAAAATAAAAAATAAAAAAAGTAGGTCAGTGGAACATTAGGTCTCTAATTCCTTAAAAAATAGACTTAGCAAAGTAGCCTCACTCAGCACTCCATTCAAAGTGGAAACTGAGAGGATTTTTTTTTTTTTGGTTGGCACTCACACCATTTTTTTAAATCGAGGAATTTTAAAGATTTACTTATTTATTTATTTATTTGAGAGAGAGAGAGAGAGCACATGAGAGGGGGGAGGGTCAGAGGGAGAAGCAGACTCCCCGCCGAGCAGGGAGCCGGACGCGGGGCTCGATCCCGGGACTCCAGGATCATGACCTGAGCCGAAGGCAGTTGCTTAACCAACTGAGCCACCCAGGCACCCTTAAATTGAGGAATTTTAAATAAAATCCAGATTTCTGGCTTCTCTGAAAACACCTGAAGTTCTACAACAGAGGGCCCACGTTCTGCACAATACGTTTTGGCCACTAGTAGCTGGAGCTGAGCCGAGCCGAGCTGAGCGCCTGCCGCTCCCATAACCTACAGACGGTAGAAGCCAGTGACCTGTACTCCGTCACCTCAGGACCTGCGGACACTGGCACTGCACTGGGAGCTGCAGAGGTCTACATACACGGACCGTGACACGAACCGCACAGCTGCTTTACTGTTCTGGAAGAAAAAGCAAAACATACCGTGCGGATAAGCGATGCAGGAAGCACACCCCTTAGAAATCGCAGCAGCTGCCATAAGTCCAAAAAAACTCGGGGAACTCTTCTCAGTCCCGTTTGTAGAAGAGGCTAATGGAGCTTCTTTCAGATACTTCTTCAAACTTTCATAAATAGCAAAACAGATGATAGTTTCTGAAATTCCAGCATACGAGGCCGTTAATCCCCTGTAGAAGCCACGGATGCCTTCTGTCTGGTAAACATAGCGAGCACACTGGACTGTGTTCATCTGCTTAGAGCCTCTCACTCTGTGTAAAGATCAATGAAGAGCTGTTAAAGTCCACACTCAGGAGGAGCTGGGCTCCTGTATCAAGCTGCAAAAAATAAGCATTGAGTATAAAGAGAAATTATACGGCAGGTGAAATATGTCTTCCGTGTCCTGTGTTCAGCTGAGCCCAGGCCCACCAGATGGGGCACCTGATAAGCCACAGAAAGTATGTGCATCTGTACCAAGAGTCATGAAAACATGTCCATAGCCTCTGACCTAACTTTAGAAAAGAGCCGGACGGAGGAAGACGTTCATCACAGAGGAAAATATAACTGCGATATAATCCAAACAGTCAGAATATCTAAAAATAGGAATAGATAAGTAAACTATGATACGCACACTAGGTTAACATAGTTGAGAAGGCAGTCAACTATGTGGAAGTGCTTGCGTGGAAAGCAGGACGCAATTATACAGTGAGTATAATTACAATCATGGCACAAATGTGCTTTCAGAAAATGCCGAAGGAAAAGCCTCACCAACATTCCGCCTGGGCAGTGAGCGCGAGGTTGCTTACGCTAGTGAGCTTTCTTAACTCTAGTCTCCAGATGGTGTGTTTTGATTCCATTATTTCTAAATTTATGGAATGATAAATATCAAATAAACTACGTAAGAACTAATAAAAGGCTTCAGGCTCACTGCTCCTGGCTCATGATGGCAAGTATCCTAAACTGCCTAACGCAGAGGGAACCCCAGGGCCTGACAGCGTATCCACTGGTCTGCACCACAGAGTCCTCCCCCGGCGCTGAAGCCCAGCGCGCCCTTTGCTCCAACCAGTCACAGTGGGCTCTCCCCTTCTTCCTTGTGTCTTTCCGAGGCTTCCACACCCTAGCTGGAGCGACCTTTCTAATACAGATCTGACCACACCACTGCCCTGCTTAAAAGCCTCTAATGTAGAGTTTCTCAATCTGGGCACTACTGACACTTTCCACCAGATGATTCTCTGCTGTGGAAGCTGTCCTTGCATTGTAGGATGCTGAGCAATACCCCAGCCTTTACCCACCAGATGCCAGAAGCATCCCACCTAAGTTGTGACAACTGGAAATGTCTCCAGACATTGCCAAATGTCCCCTGGGGGGCAGAGTGTTCCCCACTCCCACCACAAACCACGGCTCTAATGGCCCCCCACGGCCCTCAAATTAGAGCCCGAAGCCAAACTCCAAGACCCTCCCAGGGCTTTGAAGGATATGCCCCCTACCCCATGCATTTCTGCAGCCTTGGCTTTCTATGATCCCCCCCTCCTCCAGCGTGCACGCGCACACCACACACACACACACACACACACACACACACACACCCCCAGAGCACACTCCAACCACGTCCTTCGGGTACCCAGAAATGAGTGTTTCTTGTCTCTAGATTTTCCGCATACCCTATTCTTGGCCTGAAGCACGTGCAGTGCCAGGGCCCCCTCCCCATTATTTTTCAGACGGTAGAGGGTGGACATCACTGCCGCGGGAGGCCCTCCTGTGCCCGCCCTGCCTGGATGGCATGAGGGACCTCTGGGGTCCTTAGCATTTCTGGCCCCTATTTCATCAGCCTACAATTCTCTTTATTTTCTGTAAAGCTGTGAGCTTCTGGAAGGCAGGGCCTATGGCTTAACCCCCTTTTCCCCAGTGACTAGTACACAGCAAGCATGCAACAAATCTGCATTGTTGCAGGACTGGTTAACAGAGCCCACCCAAACAAAGCTTTTTAAAATGTCCTGAGCATGGGGGCGCCCGGAGAGCTTGGTTGGTTAAGCGTCCGATTCTTGATCTGGGCTCAGGTCATGATCTCAGGGTCCTGGGACTCAGCCCTGAGTCAGGCTCCGTGCTTAGCGGGGAGTCTGCCTGAGGATTCTCTCTCTCCCTCTGCCCCTCCCCCCACTCAGGCACTCTTTCTCTCTCTAAAACAAACAAATAAATCTTAAAAAAAAAAAAAATACAATGTCCTGAGCATGGACATTGCATGGAGCATGGAGATTTAAAAGAGTGCACGTCCAGTCTCCTAGCTGACTTGTGCACGTACCTGCTGCTAAGCAGGAATGATACCAGGACTGTGTGGGGCACACCTGGAATGGGGAGTGATTACCAAAGGTTTCCAGGAGAGGATGCTGGTCAGAAGCCTGAAGGACAAGCAAGTGTTCCTGAGCGACAAGAGCGGGAGAGGGATTCCTGGTGAGGGACAGCACACTCGGGGAGATGGAAGCCTAAGAGCACATGACAGTTTTAGAAAATTGCAAAGGACCTTGAATGTTAAGCCCAGGAGTTAGGATTTGACCGTGAGAGTAAGCAAGATTCACTGAAGGATTATCAGCTAGCGATCTGTCCAAAATGATGAGATCTGATGCATTCTAGAAGGTTCTTTCACACAGAATGGATTGGGGAAACATGTAATCTGAGACCAATTCAGAGGTTTTCGTGGTCATTAGAGAGAAAAAACAAAGTAAGGCAGACCCCTAGTTACACGTCCAGGGGGGTATTCTTGCTGCTTCTCTCTTTTCTTTACAGGTTGCTTAGAATTCGGCTGGACTAGCTGAAAGCTTCCAGTGCCCACACGTATTTCCAGGCCACACGGTTACACAAGGGTTCTTAGAATTCGATGAGAGTGTCCCTTATCACTATCACGTCTTTGAAATTATGGTGGTTACTGGGCCACCGTTTGATCTTGTTATTTACGGTATTAAAGAGGTATATTACTATATTGCATTTTAAAAAAACATTGATAATTATACTTCAACAATTGGTTTCCATTGCTTTAAAAAATATTACTCTGAAAAGCAACTGCAGAGGCTTCCCAGACTGCCAAAGGGATCCACAGCATGAAAATGTTAAGAACCGGGCGCCTGGGTGGCTCAGTTGGTTAAGCGACTGCCTTCGGCTCAGGTCATGATCCTGGAGTCCTGGGATCAAGTCCCACATCGGGCTCCCTGCTTGGCAGGGAGTCTGCTTCTCCCCCTGACCCTCCCCCCACTC